CATAAATTAATATTATAAAGAGGTTTGTTAAAAAAGAATTTTTTTAAACAATTTATTTTTTTTAAACAATATAATTTTAAAAATATACATCGAAATAAATTTATCTAGTATATATAGCGTGTAAATTTTTTTAGGGTATATAAATATTTCATATTACGAATCTGTGATTTTTATTGATATATTGTGGATGCATTTAACTATCATTGAAATATTTCCTTATAAATAAGGATCAATTAGGTGAATATACATAAATTTCATCAAAATTAGGTAACTACCCAAAAGGAAAAAAATGGTAGTTTGCTGTAGATTTTAAGCGTTGAACTTCCGATTCTATCCCTAGACTCATCTCTATCACCATTATCTTTCTTCTATCTCTCGAGTCTCTTTCTTCATCTTCATCTCTTTTTTATTCAACTTTTTCATCTAATCTTGAGTTTTTAAATCCACAGTTCTATGTTTTAATTCACAAGAACCAACAGTTCTATATTTTAATTTAAAAGTAATTTAATAAATGTTAATATTACAAAATCTTTACAATTAAATAATTAAGAAAAAGGGAAACTTTTATTTGTCTGAATCTTTTCTCTTCAAACAACTACAAAATTGAAACCGCCCCCATTCATTTAGAGAGTCATTTATTGAGGAAGAAAAGGAGGAGGAGGAAGGAAGAGAGGAGGAGGAAGAGGGGAGGGGGGGGGAAGAAGAGGAAGAAGTTTGGGAGTGAATCTAAAAAAAAAACAGAGCGAGGAGAGGAAGAGGAGGAGGCTTGGGAGTGAATCTTAAAAAACAGGGGAGGGGGAGGGAGAGGACGACGAGGGGGAGGAGGAGGGGGAGGGGAGGAGGAGGAGGAGAGTGAGGGGGACGAGGGGGAGGGAAGGAAGAGGAGGAGGCTTGGGAGTGGATCTAAAAAAAACAGAGAGAAAAAGAAAAAGAGAATATAGGGATATATCTGAAAAACAGATATGTGGCTGGAAGTGTGGAGAATCAGAGGAGATAAGAGATCGCCGACAGAAAAAAAAAAAAAAAAAAGAGAGGAAAAGAAAAGGAGAATATATGGGTAATTGCGTCATTATTTTTTGTTCTACAGTTGAATACAGTGATTTATGGTATTTTCTTAATTATGGAATAAGTGGCGTGTATGCACTGTAATTTCTCTATAAATAATAGAAGATTCCTATATTTATATTTATTGACATATTTTGCGTGACTAAGTTAAGTATGGGGTAATTTACCAAAACCAAATTGTTAAGCGTAGCTTTGTTGTTATAAATATGATTTTTCATAAGATATAATAATGATAAGATTATTAGAAAGTTAATGTAACATGACTTCCTAATAATAGTCTATTTTAAAAATAATCACACATGAAGTCAAGTCATGACTTCTGTTTTAATATATAAGATTGGTACTATATAAATTCAGTGAAAACTGCAATAACATTGACGAATATTACATCGTTTAGTTCTTAAATGATGTGTCCAATTTAGACTATAATCTTATTGCATATATAACTTTAATTTTTTTTCAATACTATCAATGTTATCTATGATTCTATACAAGAAAATACAAGGAGATTTTTTTTTTTGGGGAGCGCTACAAGGAAAATTGTTTACTTTTGTAGAATTATAAAGATGCATGATGAGAATGTTCATGTTTAATTAGAAGAGGTAAAAGAAGGGTACGAAACAGAAACAACTCACTTGCATGTGAAAACCTGGTGCTACTTTGAATTGAAACACAAGTGACATTGTTTTTGTTATATTCTTCTATTTTTAGGGTTTTGTTTAAAGCTAACACGACACGCCAAAATTTGAATTTTTTTTTCATCGGTAAATCTTATACATTAAAATAGAAGTCATAATTTTGCTTCATATGTGATTTTTTTAAAAAAATAGACCATCTCTAGAAACTCTTACGATACGTATTTCATTAAATCAAAGAAAAAAATATTTGTAACTACTTTAATCATAATATCTTTTGATATCCTTTTTATTTTAAAAATAAATATATATATTAAAGTTATAAAATATCTGTTGAAAAAGATTTAACAAAATCTTAAATTTAAAAAATTATGTAAATATTTCACTAATTTTAAATTAGTAAAGAATATAATTATATATTATCACATATATTTAGTTATCTTTTATAGAATAAATTAAAATAAAATAAAATTCTATCTTTTTATCTATCTTTTAGAAAATCATAATGTATCATATAAAATAACTATTATAGTAAAATTATATTAAGTAGATAAACTAATCTATTTTATTTCCATAAATAGAAAACATTAACGTTACAAATATAATATGCTGCTAGAACATGTTAACATTAGTAATTATATAATACATGTATAAAATTAACATATAAACTTTTATATATACAATACTATATTATCAAAATAAACATAAAATATGCTAATTTAGTATAAATTAAATATAAAATAATTTTCAAGCATGATTTTTATGTATATATTAGTTTATTTAATAATCAAATCCAAATACAATAAGATAAATATATAATAAGAAACGATTGAAATAATTGTTACTAACATGTGAATTATAAAATTATTGCGTTCGTAATAATTTTATAAACATTTAAATATATAACTAACGTTAGTAATTATGTAAAATAAATATTTATGTATATAAAAATAAAAATAAAACCCGCACGGCCGCGCGAATCATAATCTAGTTTCCATTAAAATCAAACAGTGTACATTAAAACAAAAACCAAAATATATTATATCTACAAAAGCTGTATTAAGTAATTGGTATGTATATTACATGTAATTATGATTCGCTGTTTGGTTTTTAATGGAAACTAGATTTTGATTCACGAAACCGCACAGATTTTATTTTATTTTTTATATACATAAATATTTAACTTGCTTTACTTTATAACTTGCTTTACTTAATAAATACAATACGAAGAAAACGTTTTTGCGTTAACAAAGAAAATCGGTTTTTCTTTGACGGAAAAAAATTAAATGACAATCTAAAAAATCAGTTATACACTCATACTTAGCTACCAATTTTTGAATAAAATGGAGATTTTTGGATCTTATATTAATGAAAGAAAGAGGTACTTAACTGTAAAAAAATTAGTATAATGTATGTTATAAATGTAAGAATCATTACTCAAAGTCTCAAACGTATGGCTATTCAATCCATTTTTCAGTCTGATTTCAGTTTAGTATTTTTGGTTTTTCGATATTCAGTTCATAAAAAATAATCATTTTATTAAATTATTTCTAATTTAATTAAGTTCATTTTATATACTCTCGATTTTTGGTTTATTCATTTTTATACAAAAATAATTATATATATTTTATAACATTTTCACAATTTAGTTTAGATAAGTAAAATTGGATTGATTAAACATAAAGATATATTCAATACTTTAACTTTTAAATATAATGTTTTCTGTTTTATTCAAATATTTAGAATTTATTAAAATAAAATAATTAGTAAAATTTTGTAAAATAAAAATAAAGATGTAATAATATTATAATATTATTAAATAATTAAGATATACCATAAATGTTTGTCATAAAAACCCACTTGAAACGAAGTAACAAATTAGTTAAATTAATGTATTAAATATCACAATCATATCAATGAAATAAATTACGTATATATGTTTATTAGTTATATTATATAATTTGATATATAAACTATAAAATTATATTTAATTAATGAGTTTATTGGTTATATTATATAATTGATATATAACTATAAAATTATATTTAATTAATCAGTTTTGTGAGTTTATATATCGAACTGTATTTATTTATTATGATTTCTTTAAAATAATATCCATTCAGTTTATAGGATATTATCAAATCAAAATCAATTTCTCTATTTTCTACATATATTTGATTCAGTTTTACCGGAATGATCATTGTAAAATAACCACAATTCTTATTTTTATGTTATAAATTTAGTAACTTGGATACAATTAAGGTAACAAAAATGTTGTAGAACCTGTCTTACTTAATACTTCTCTATTTGAAAATGATACATGTTTTAGAAATGAAAAATTCTTTAGGATATATCTAAAAAATAGGTTTTCTCATAAATATAAAATTTTAAAATAAAGATGACCAAAACAAATTTAAATCATCAAAAATAACTAAATATACACTTGTACTCGTTGAGTTACTACTCCTAAACTTCTTTTTTTAAAGTTGAGGAGGAGTGTGGTTTTGAGGATATGATTTCAATTTTTTTTTTTTAAAATAAAATTTTCAAAATAAAAATACTATTTTGATCATTTTAGTGTTTCAGATCTATTTTGTGATAAAAGTTTTTTAAAATAAGATCTACTTGAGAGAATTGATATCTAAAAATTTTACACTTATTAAGAAAATACATTAAAACATAGTTATTAATTCATAGTTTTTTGTAATTTTATATTTTCTACATTTCTAAACCAATAAGATTTTAAAGAATATAATTAATATGTTTAAAGTTTACAATTTTTTATTATTAGTTGATAAAAATCTAGTGGAAATAAAAAAAATACGTCTTTTTGAAATACTTTTTTTCTAGAAAATGTATTTATTTGAAACAAAGATATAATACAGGGATAGCACTTTTGATAAATAAAAGACCGAAACGTGGCGAATTAGGCGGTAAATCTTGTTAAATAAATTACGGAAAAAGTAGTAAAGAAGGAAACAGAGGATGTCCACAAGACCAGAACCCAAGTATTGGAAATATTTTGAATGAACGAAACTCAGTTTATCACATAGACACACAGAGTTTATAACGTAACAGACTGTGGTCACAATCAATTGTCACAGATCCACGATAAACAGACACGTGTCCTCATCGTAATATCAGGTTAGTTTCGTGTGTTTGAGAGTTTCAACATCGCATCATGACCGCACGATTGTTTCTTAAAGGGTAAAACAATCAGTTATAATATCTGATCGGACGGTTTAAAAGCCTTCTCTACTCTTGCCCTTTATATTTCGTCACTATCACCCCCAAGAGAAAGCAACTTCGTCTTTTCTCTCTCTAGATTTTCTTCAGACCAACTAATTAATCTCTCTCTTTCTTTCTCTCCAATATTATCATGCGTTTTTAAAATTCCGATCTCTTTCTTTTATTTCAGAGCTTTCTGGAGAGATTATAAATGGCATCTGGATTTCCCGGCGGTGGTGGTGGACCGGAGTTTTACGGCGTTGGTGGTAGATCCATGCCTGGAGGTCCCATGAACTCCGGTAACAATAATCCTCAGATTCCCGGAATTTTCCTCGATCAGATCGGAAACAGAATCTCTAGCGGAAATGGAATCGGAGGGAAACGTACTTTAGCTGATTTTCAAGCGGCTCAGCAGCAACAGCAGTCGTTTCATAATCAAGCCGCTATCAACGCGTTTCTTCTAAGGTCCGTGAAGCCTAGAACGTTCCAGAATCTTCAGTCGTCGCCGGCGATCGATATGAGCTTGTTCGGTGGTTCCTCTCAGCGTCCGTTTCTTCCGAATCTCAGGTATCAGACGCAGCAGCAACCGGATTACAGTGGGGTCCGAATTGGATTCGGGTCGGGTAATCAGACGCTATCGGGCGTTCCGTGTATTGAACCGGTTCAGAACGTAAACCGGGTTGAAGAATCGGAGAACATGCTGAATAGTTTAAGAGAGCTTGAGAAACAGCTTTTAGATGATGAAGGCGGTGATGATGACGTGTCAGTTATCACCCATTCCAACAGCGACTGGCTACACGGCCTCGTGACTCCCAACCCTACCCCGATTTTGTCTTCTTCACCGAGCTCTTCTTCCTCGTCTTCTTCGCCTTCAACGGCCTCGACGACCACGTCGGCATGCTCCAGGCAAACGGTGATGGAGATCGCGACGGCGATCGCCGAGGGGAAGACGGAGATAGCGTCGGAGATTCTAGCGCGTGTCTCTCAGACGCCGAGCCAGAGGAGGAATTCCGAGGAGAGGCTGGTGGATTTCATGGTGACGGCGCTTCGGTCGCGGATCAATCCGGCGGAGAGCTCTTCTCCGGCGACGGAACTGTACGGGAAGGAGCATGTAACCTCCACTCAGTTGCTCTACGAGCTGTCTCCTTGTTTCAAACTCGGTTTCATGGCCGCTAATCTCGCTATTCTCGACTCTTCCGGTAACAAAAACGACTCGTTTCACGTCATAGATTTCGAAATCGGTGAAGGTGGACAGTACGTTAACCTCCTTCACGCGCTCTCCACGCGCCGGGGCTGTAATAGTAATAATCCTCTGGTGGTCAAGATCACCGCCGTTAACATAAGCGACGGATTCTCTGTCGCCGGCAACCGTGGAGAGGAGAGGCTGAAAATCGTTGGAGATCGTTTGAGCGAACTCGGTGATCGACTCGGAATCTCGTTAAGGTTTAATGTGGTGGCGGGTTTAAGACTCGGCGATCTGAGCCGTGAATCGCTTGGATGCGATCCCGACGAGCCTTTAGCTGTGAACTTGGCTTTCAAACTCTATCGTGTTCCAGACGAAAGTGTATGCATGGAGAATCCTAGAGACGAGCTTCTCCGGCGCGTGAAAGGACTCAATCCGAGCGTGGTCACTTTAGTGGAGGAGGAGATGAATTCCAACACGGCGCCGTTTTTGGGCAGGGTGAGCGAGTCGTGCGCGTGTTACGGCGCTTTGCTTGACTCCGTTGAGTCGACCGTTCCGAGTTCTAACTCGGACCGTGCCAAAGTGGAGGAGGGGATCGGTCGGAAGCTGATAAACGCGGTTGCGTGCGAAGGGATCGATAGGATCGAGCGGTGCGAGGTGTTTGGGAAATGGCGGATGAGGATGAGCATGGCTGGGTTTGAGTTGATGCCATTGAGTGAGAAGATAGCCGAGTCGATGAAGAGTCGACTCAGTAACGGAAACCGAGTCCACCCTGGGTTTACAGTTAAAGAAGATAACGGCGGTGTGTGCTTTGGTTGGATGGGACGGACACTCGCTGTCGCATCCGCTTGGCGTTAACTTCACACTATTTTTACCTTCTTTTTTTTACTTTCTTCTTAATATTACTACCATATTATTATCGTTGCTATTAATTTCGGGATATTCTGATATTATTATTATTATTGTGATTTTCATTTTCGAAGTGTATTGATTATTACAAGATTGAGGATCGAGGGAGAAAAAGGAAAGGTAGGAATCTTATGTAAAATGGACTTTTAATATTTTATTTTACTCATAATAAAGAAAAGAATGATTGGGTTTCAGCGAATTCCTTAAGATTATTAATATTCTATTATTGTAATATCTTGTCAATATCTTACAATCACTAAGATATTACAGAATTTATGCCCTGAAAAGCTAATAATTTGATGATACAATTTTGTGGTAGAATATCGCAGGTGTAGCAAATCACAACTTGACAGATAATGGTTCTTAGGCGTGATACCTACTAATGATTTATCAGACCAATTATATAATTTTTCCGTTTTTCGATTCTAGAGCAATAAGTTTTAAAACTGCATGATCAAAGGCCTTTTTATTCTCATGGCATTGTATAGGTGTTTATACTTTTTTTTTTGTCAGCTTAAGGGTATATATACGTGTGATTAGCGCCAGTCTTAATATGGTTAGTTTTAAGAGAAGTATTTAACGTCAGTGAATATGTTGGTGAGAATATAATAAAGTATTTTTCGAAATTAGAGGAAAGAAGATACCATATGGTGACTTTTATGGTGCTGGACCTCATTGTTCAATTATTTAAACACTAATGAAAGTTGGCGTAGTATGGGTCCATCTCCCATGGAGCTCGATGTTCTTGTGTTATTTATTTTTAATTTAAATCTTAGAACATTCACCTTTACGCAAAACTTGAAAACTCCGTGTCCTTGGAATATTTAATGCATTATGTGAAATATCACTAGAAAAGATAAGTATTATTCTTTGATGCAAGCTGTTTGCGGCTAAATATATGCATAATCTCTTGAAAACCCTCACTTCTTAGTTTCTTCTAACTTGTTGTTAATTAAGTTTATTTAATTCAAGTATACGCAACTTAAAACCGTGTGCAGTGTTTAATTCTGTTATACGCAAAAAAAAAACTGTTATACGCAACTTAAATACGAATAGAGCCATAACTCTAAGATCAAGTCGGTAATTTGATGTTTCGCCTTACACTGACTAGAAATTCCCTAATATTTGTTATGAAAATGTTGTGGTTAAACGTGTGTTAAACTAACCCACATACAGTATTTATGAAACTCTGAAAGCAATAGTCAATTGCACACGTTAGTTTTCTATCTTCCATAACTCCAACCGAGTAAAGTAAGCGTTTAATAAAAGTATTGGTTTATAATAAATAGAAGAAACAATTCATTTCTTCATCCAAAATCTCATGAGGTCGTAACATATCTGGCCCTATTCTGAGTTGTGATGTAACAAACTTTCCCGATTACGACATTATATTAAACATTCATATGAAATAAATGAAGGCCGAAGTTTTATATTCATTTAGTTAAAGAAAATTCAATGAATATATTGAAATAACTGAAAAGGTTAAATCTCTTTGGTCATTTATGACAACTCAGTGAACTCACACATCTTATGCAGTTGACGTTGGCATATTATTCCACTTGATCTGAACTCTGAAGGAGTGAAACTGCAAAAAAAAAAAAAGTAACAAAAGGCTTCTATACACACGCTTGCATAATACGGTGAGAGCCATGCATATGGCATATACGTATACTATGTAGGCCAAGTGCTATATATTGGACCTCTATGCTAATAATCATTCTTATTAAAATGAATGACATATTAGTTTAGTTGGGTGGTTGACAATTAGCATGTAGTAAGGTTGATGTAGTTCGATTTAGTTTGAGAAGGAGAAGTTAATGTCTGCATATATGTGCGGACAGCTATCCAGTGTTTTAAAATAGCCACTAAATTTAGAATGTATCGACATAAAACCATTACTATAGTAAAGTATTTAAATCTTGAAAATAATAGTGGCTTGGGTATACAGACAAAAGTTTACAAATTTTATTCAAAACAAGAACAAACATCTGGATAACAAGCTAATTAAAAAATATGTGCACGCAACATTCACTTTTCACAAAATAGATAAATTCCATCATTCCATCATTCATTTATCACCAGCGCCATTTCAAAATATTCTTTGGTATATATTCTAATAGGTTAAGAAAAATAAATATCATAGACATTTGCTTTCTTACTAGTAAACCTATACATGTGAAGATATTGGAACATTTGCTTTTCGGGGAGAGTTGGGAATCTTGGAAGTTGGAACTATTTGCTAATTATCATAGTTTATTTGAATTTTTTAATTAATCAAACAAGGATTCTTTATCTGTTAGCTTCCACCTACACTCTTTTTTCGTCGTGACTGACGCCCCAAAAAGACGTCATCGACGCCCACTTCATTCGTTTTGCAAAACTAACAAATCAATCAAATAAAAATGTTCAAGTATAGTTTCTTTTTGGGAAAATTCCTTAAAAATACACCAACTGAGTTTCTTTTGCTAAAAAAATACACTAACTTTTTAGACTTCCCGAAAAATACACAAAATAATTTTGGTTGTCCACAAAATACATGAACTTTTGAATTTCGAAGGTTTCACACCTCGGTTTTAACGGCGTGAACTCTCATTAACAGAACATTTAGACGACGTTAACTCTAATTCAAAAGTTCATGTATTTTGTGGACAACCAAAATTAGTATGTGTATTTTTTGGGAAACCAAAAAAATTCGTGTATTTTTTCAGCAAAGAAAATTTAGTATGTGTATTTTTAAGGAATTTTCAAAAATATACTAAGGTGGAATAGACATTGATTTTTTTGTTTGGCTAAAAAATGTAATTTTTGAATATATTTTTTCATATTGAGGACGGTTTTTCTAGGGTGAGTTTGGATCTATAATTAAAATACGTGTAAAATACCAGTAATTTTTGGATATGTATCATATAATACATAATGTGTTTTTGTTTGGGTCTTTGGGTCGGGTTTGGGCCGGTTCTTTTCGGATCTAAGATATCCGGATCTAAGNTTAAAATACGTGTAAAATACCAGTAATTTTTGGATATGTATCATATAATACATAATGTGTTTTTGTTTGGGTCTTTGGGTCGGGTTTGGGCCGGTTCTTTTCGGATCTAAGATATCCGGATCTAAGAACCGGCCCAAACCCGACCTAAAGACCTGAACAAAAACACATTCTCTTCCACATGATACATATCCAAAAATTAGCAGTATTTTCCACGTATTTTAATTATAGATCTGAACTGATCCAAGAAAAACTGGTCTCAATATGAACATAATGAACAAAATATAAAGAAGCAAAAAAAAACACATTATTCATATTAATACACACATTGTTCAAAATATATTAAAATACGTGAGTATTAATATGAACAATGTGTTTTTTTTGCTTCTTTATATTTTCTTCATTTTGTTCATATTGAGGTCGATCTTTTTAGGATCAGTTCGGATCTATAATTAAAATACGTGGAAAATACCGGTAAGTATTGGATCTGTATCATGTGGAAGAGAATGTGTTTTTGTTCAGTTCTTTGAGTCGAGTTTGGGCCGGTTCTTAGATCCGGATATCTTAGATCCGAAAAGAACCGACCCAAACCCAACCCAAAGACTCAAACAAAAACACATTCTCTATTACATGATACATATCCGAAATTACTGGTATTTTACACGTATTTTAAATATAGATCCAAACTGACCCTAGAAAAACCGGCCTCAATATGAACAAAATATATTCAAAAATTACATTTTTCAGTCAAACAAAAAAAAATCAATGTCTTTGCCACCTTAGTATATTTTTGAAAATTCCTTAAAAATACACATACTAAATTTTCTTTGCTGAAATAATACACGATCTTTTTTGGTTTCCCGAAAAATACACAGACTACTTTTGGTTGTCCACAAAATACATGAACTTTTGAATCAGAGTTAACGTCGTCTAACAGCGTCTAACGGCGTCTAAATGTTCTGTTAATCAGAGTTAACGCCGTTAAAATCGAGGTGTGAAACCTTCAAAATTCAAAAGTTCATGTATTTTGTAGACAACCAAAATTACTTTGTGTATTTTTCGGGAAGTCTAAAAAGTTGATGTATTTTTTTAGCAAAAGAAACTAAGTTGGTGTATTTTTAAGGAATTTTTCCTTTCTTTTTAACGGCTTTCATATTAAATTTATAAAAAGGGTTTACAGGGGAAGAGATTACTGAAAGGGAGAATTTGCGAAATAGCCAAAATGGAGAGCATAATTAAGAAACTGACTATGATTTTGACTGAATTAAATGTATAACTTTTGTTCCTAAAATGATCCGGTTCTGCCCTTTATGACAACAAGTCACCGGTAAAAAAGAAGAAGAAAGGATGACGTCGACAAAAATGTATGTGGTCCAAGATGGAGGTTGATTTTTGGTAACTTAAAAGAAACACGTCACTATTAAATGTGTAGACAAAATAGAACTCTTTCCAATATCTATTCTATTCCATTTACCAACCTAAGTCATTTTATTTTTAAGATGAATGCATGAATAATTCTTACCAGACTGCGTGTATACTATTCTATCTAAGTTGCACATATACTATTTTATTTCTGTGACATAGTACATCGTCCAAATATAATCACTAATCCATAACCCAAATATAAATTCTAACCCAAATATAAACCATAATCACTAAACCCTAAACTCAAATATAAACCCTCAACCTAAATAGAATGAAACTAAATAGATAGCATAGTACATGTTAGAAAAAAGACTCTGATATGGAAGTCCATACCTTATAAATAGGATTTATATTGTTTAGTTTTGATCAATACGCATAAATTAAGATTCATAACAATGATAAAACAACAAAACATAATTTATGTTTATGCATTTTAAAATCATACTACTATTCTATATTCTGAAAATAGAATAGAATACAATAAATAGTAAAGATCATATATTCTATTTCACATGAATGGTCTTTCCATTTTACATATACATGATTTATTCAACTTATATACACATTGTGCCATTATTGTCATTTCTAAATTATTGGGGTTGATTAATAAGTATAAGTACTAACAGTTAATTCATAAAAAAATCAAAAGAATATATAACACATGTTTATTTATTACCAAATACATTTCTATTCTGTGTGCGCCAAATAGAATAGAGCAAAATAAATAAGAAATTACAAATAAAATGACTAGAGATGGAATTGATGGAGTAGTGTAGAA